ATATATATATATATATTAATTATATTGACAAATCTATGCAAAGAACTGACACGCATGGTTGCACTCCAGTGATATAATTGAGGCAGCGTGGTGGAATCAGGCTCTCGTCAAAATAATGAAAGTGAAGAAACTTGCATTTTTCCGCAGGTTTGTGAATTTTTATCAAATTTTTGTTTTTTGACTCAGCACCTCTCATGCAAATTAAATAACTAATTTCTGTATGGAGTTTTCTTAAAAACGTTGATTTAAGGCACAAAAAATGTAAATTTTCAGTTACCACAGACTCTAAAGGTAAGAAAATAACTAATCTTTGGCGGCCATTTTCTCATTAATTTTACATCTGAAAACAGGTGACCCCCACCTCCTTCATTCGCAAGTATCTCGACTTGTGTTCAAGATTAATGGATATTTTTTTCATTCAAATAGAGACAAGTGAACAGGCTTTAAGATGACACCAATAACTCTACATGCCCAAAAATTGACGAGAGCCTGATTCCACCACGCTGCCTCACATAATTATGCACATATTATAAGGAACTCCCCAGGTCTGGTGGGCAATGTACAGCTTTTGTGGTTGGGCGACGAAGCCTGAAAAATTTATGCAGATTTTTGTTCTTTTAACGAAATGAACGGCCCATGAGATCCCAAGAGACGCTGAGATATTAACAGACAGCTCAGATATTGGCAGATAGCTAAGGTATTTGCAGATGGTTCAGATATTGGCAGATACAGAAAAGGAGCTCACAAAAGACGCTCAGATATTGGCAGATAGCTCAGATATTGGCAGATACAGAAAAGGAGCTCACAAGAGACGCTCGGATATTGGCAAATAGCTTAAATATTGGCAGATACAGAAAAGGAGCTCACGAGAGACGCTCAGATATTGGCAGAGAGCTCAGATATTGGCAGATAGATATTAACTCATTGAAGACGCATATTTTGGTCATTCGACAATGCTTTGGGATACTTGAAAAAGACGGAAAAACTTTGTCAATTCGTATAGATTTCGGAGCGATAAGGACAACAGATTTTTATATAAGGAAAAAAAAAGTAGCAAACCACACCAGAGCGCCTTGCAATCACCCACAGCTTTCATTATGAAGGGTTTCTGTTTGAAAAATCTTTTTAGAATATAGTTGTTGCAGTAACTTTTTCATGTTGAAATGTTAATTTCTTGTCATAAGGCTCTTTGTAAAAGTTTTATTTTTTCTGATCTTTTGAGTTCTCTCCACGAAGGTAGATAAAAGCAAAGTACAAGTAGACTTTTTTTTTTTAGTAGACGTTTTACGGCGCTCGCAACTGCATAAGGTCATATATGAGCGCCAGAAGATTAGAGGTGTTACAAGAGAGTAACAAACATAAAAAAGAAGAAGGGGAGTTAAAGTTGATAGATGTTTGATAGGAAAGAATTGAAGCAAACCACACCAGAGCACCCGTGTTTGGAGAAATGCTAGAAAGCAGATCTCTCTCTCTCTCTCTCTCTCTCTCTCTCTCTCTCTCTCTCTCTCTCTCTCTCTCTCTCTCTCTCTCTCCCTCCCCCCTCCTTTCTCTCCCTGACTCTATCTCACAGAAACACGTTAACATACAGACAGACAAACATGCACGCGCACGCACACACACACACACACACACACACACACATATACGCGCGCGCACGCGCACACACACACACACACACACACACACACACAAAATATTAACGCACGCGCACACAAACACAATGGCATGTAACACAAACAAGCAAGCAAACTGCACGTTAGAGAGAGAGAGAGAGAGAGAGAGAGAGAGAGAGAGAGAGAGAGAGAGAGAGAGAGAGAGAGAGAAAGGGAGAGAGAGAGAGAGAGAGAGAGAGAGAGAAAGAGAGAGAGAGAGAGAGAGAGATTGGTCGGGTTGGGGGGAGGGTGGTGTAGGAGGAGGGTGCGATAGAGTTCTAGGGGGTGAGTCGGAAGCCTGGTCAGTTTCCTACTTGTGGGGGAAAAATCAAATTAAACTGTGACTTCTTGTTTGGAACTGTAGAATTACCTTCAGCATTTTGTAGAATGAAAAATCAGAAACCAGAGATAGTCCAAGCTTGGAGTAGACGTTCAGGCCAAGTTAGCCATGAATTTTTTCACTGTTCCAGACAAGCTCGCAGACGACAGACCTTCTCCAGCTGATGCTGTCAGGGTGAGGCAGTGAGGTAGACGCCTGCCTTTGTATTTTTTCTCCGTTGATACATAAAAGCAATACATATTCACTCTACTTTTAAAAATAATATTGGACAAACATGCCTGCTAGAATTTTGTTTTCACAGTAACACTGCAGGCTTTTGTATCAGATAAAACTTCGAACATTGAATGTCTGCGCGCTTTTTATTTAGTTTGTTTCGGAAAGAAATAGAGTGTAATTTTGAATTAACCAAGCATTATTTCATATTTTTGACATATTTTGGCAGACGAGAATTTTTTCATAGAAATCTTTCTTCGAGTTGATGCTATTACTGTTGTAACAATAGAGTTTCTTCCCAGTGAAATGCTGAAGGTATGATTTTTTAGTTTGCCCTTGGCATGCCATTGACGGTTTGTAAAAAAAGCCCAAGGATACAAGTGCTGTGGAGAAATAATGCGCTTTATCAGTATTTGTTTACATTAGTTACAATGCATACCAAATATCGATAATTTAGTGTTTTTGTTTCATTTTAGTGTTCTAAAGCCGAGGAAGTACAGAAACCTGAAAGCCAGTGTGTCGACAACTTCTTTGTCAATGACTGTGGCTATAAATTTGTAGTTGTCCTTTATTCATGTTGTTTCTGCATATAATAAAAGAGAAATATGTCTTTCTTTTGACGGTATTGTGATTCACTGATTCAGAATACGAGGTGGCTAGATCTAGCCGTACTTAAGTACGGCTAGACCGGCTA